TCCAAATACTCTTTCAATTACTTAATAACAAAGCATGTGGCTCTTCTGGAATTAGCTATGAGATGCTTAAACAGGTTAGACCAACTTTTATTCAAGCAATCACAGCTCTTTTAATCAATATTTTACAACTAACCAAATATCTAAACAATGAAAAGAAGAAAGAATCTTTCGAAAATCTATAAAACCTATTTTTGACAGAAATCTAACTATTACCAGACCTATAAGCCTCCTTGAATATATTAAAAAACTATATACCAAACTCCTAACTAATTATCTAAATAGTATTTTTACCTAATACCATATCCTTTCACCATACAACTACATTGCCCTACCTTGGAATGGCACTACTATTCCTATTCACATTCTTAACAATATTATTGAAGAAGCATCATATAACTCGAGACAACTTTGGCTCATATCTCAAGATATGAGTTAAGTATATGACTCAGTTAATTTGGAGCTTTTCCAAAGATTCCTCATACGAATTAATATGCTTTCTAAACTTATATATATCCTCACTAACCTACTGTCTGATCATTATAATAGAGTTATTACAAATTTTGGTTTTACAAACTCTTACTCTGTTAAAAATGGAATAGATCAAGGAGAAACAATAACACCTCTCTTCTGGAAGATTTATTATGAACCCTTTATCACTAAGATTGCTACCTACTTTAAAGGCTATATACTATTAACTTCATGAAAAGCTCATCTACATCCACCTCGATATCAAGAAATGCAAACATCTGTCTCTGTGCTTGCCTATATAGATGATACACTTTGGATTGCAAAGTCTAAAGAAGAACTACAACTGATAACTCAAACTGCAATATCATTTTATCAAATGGCTAATATATAAATTAATCCTACCAAATCTGTACTTATCAGCAACCAGTATGTAGATTCAATTATATTTAGCAATTCTCAACTACATTCAATAGCCTGTAATTAGCTCTTCAAATTCTTAGGCTGTTGATATATACTCGATAACGAACAGATCCAACAAACTAAACTGATAAAAAAAGAAGCATTTTAACTAATCAAAATCACTAGCACCAAAAAGATTACAGATAAGCAGATTATCTACATTATTAATACTGTTATCATTCTTACTATAGAATACAGATTATATAATATCATTCTTTTCAGTCTATTTGTAATCAAATCCTATCAAAATATCTAATAGTAGCTAAACACAAATCTTACCTAGTCTGATCTATCTCCAACAGTACTATACTAAACCCTTATTTATATAATATCAAAAATATTTGGGATATCCAACTTTAACTCCATATTACTAACTTTTGCAACGCATAAATAACCCACACTTGCTAGGCATCTCTACATGCATCTGCATCCAACAATTACAAAATAATTTATGGTCAACTATTAGTATACTTCAACATTCACAGCCTATTCAGCCTATTATAGATGGGCCAAACAAACATATACTTAACTTTCATATTATCAAGCTCTTCAATTACTTAGATATTACTTTTATAGCAAATATTAACTTCTTATGACCTTACACTATTCAACACAACTTACAACCTTGAGGATAAAGTAATATCACATAGCTACTATCACACTCTGGCACCCAATATCAACAACTAGGAGTTAATCCTTTTGTATACAATACACACATATCTAAAAAATCTAATATCTGGTTACTTAGTTATAACAATAATAATATTATTATTAGCAAAATCTATAAACATTTACCAAACAACTTGATTTCTATCACACATTAGAAAACTAATATTAATTCTACATATCCAATGCTATCTTTGTTCTGGATGTTATCTTAACTTCAACAGAATCAGTAGTTGCTATATAATTAATGTTTTAGCTATTATCTCTACCCAGTTCTTTGGAAGAATTTTTTCTAAGAATCTTATTTTTCATACCATTCACATTAATCTTATTTACTCTACAGCAATTAAACACTCTATTCAAGTTTCTACTTTACCTCAAATTTCTATCAACCATTCTACTGCATCTCAGATTTTCGAGTCTGAAGAGGCTACTTCTAAGCTTGAACAATTCTCTTATATGAACTCTATGCTTTCTCAGTTTAACTTCTATACAGATGGATCAGTAATCGATATTAGAACACTAAACTGCATAATGGGTGTAGGATGGGTCCAGTTGGATATCAATAATTATATCATATATAAATTCTTAGCAAAAATATACCTTTGGCTATCTTCATATAAAGCCAGGCTTTTTTTAATCTTATCTGTAATCTCTACTACTCCACGCAATTCAGCTATCAATATTTTTACTGATTTACAATCTATTATCTCCAAATACTCTAAACTTATTAACTTAAATAACCCTAACAAACTTTTCAAATTCAGCTTATGGTCTTTATAGCATACATTACTTAATATATCCAAATCACATAATCTACAACTTACTTTTCATAAAGTTCAAGCTCATACTACTACAACAAATTAGGTGATTCTCTTGCTAAACAACATATACTATCACCCTCATTACACTTTATATATACTAATATCCATAACCCTTTCATATAATTCACTGGAAGCAACATTCTGTTGAACCTCCCACTAAACACTTTATTAAAAGTATTTGCAAATCTCAGATTTTAGCAATGTAGTTATCACAAAATTGTAATACTGAATGGTTATCCTTTATGCAACAGATAGACTAGAATGCTACTTGGTTATTCTTTAACCACAATCAAAAACCTACCACAACTTTACTAACTTTAACTAAACCAACTTAAATCATTTAAAATCAAAACTTTACTTAATGAATTTTCTACCTACTTCTTCTAATACATTAGATATCCCATTACCTTCATCAATCCTAATTGTTTTTTTTGCAATAGCTTAGACTCTGTTTTATACTAGAGTGTTTGTTCTAACTCTACTACTCTTACCAATATCATTTCTAATTTTATCTTTGTAATTCTTCACAACTCAACATTTGACTTATCTAGTAACCAAACCAATGAACTTATATACACAATTCAAAACTACGCAGCTTTCAGAAATATAATAGTAGGATCAAATGATCTCTCTTTAGATATTATACTTAAAGGCTTTATTCCTATATCCCTAGTCCAAACTATTCAAAAGTTTGATATTCTCTACAAATGTGCATCTCAAATTATTGTTAAAACCATACTTTAAATTAATGAAGTTATCTATAAACAGATATGGAAACCATATTGTATCAACTTCTCAAATTGGAAAAAGCAAAATGAGATTACATTATTCTATAACCAACCTCAAGATCCACAGACTACTAACAGAACTCTAAAATATATCTACAAATTATACACTTACTCTTGCCAATATAGCCTACTTAATCAGCTACACTTAAATAATTTTTGTCCACTACTTGGACAGGCTATTAGCAAAATTAATATCTTTAATATATTATGGATTAAATATAGTATATCTTCTAATTACATCCTCTCTATTATAATCTAGATGATTCTTTGACCACTCCAGTAGGTTTAGGTCACAGATAAAGTAGTCTGAGCTTTTATTCTTGCATGTAGTTTTTACTTTTGATATTTTATATATTGGAAGGTTAATAACTCTTTGCAGTTATTATATTAAAAACTATTAATAAAGATATGAGCAAGGCCTCTCACCTTAATACTAAAAAAAAATAAAATAAAATAAAATTAAGTAAAAACTTAATTGTCAAGTTTTTTTTTATAGTCAAGGATAGCCTCTTTGGCTTATTTGCTTTTATTAGATTGTAGAATCATGTAGTGTCTTTATTTAAGGGGTCTCAGACAAGTACATTCTGATAAGAGTACATTAACTTACAAACAAATGAATTTAAAAAAATCTGTCTTACAAATTTGTTGCTTTTAATCTAAGCTACAATTCTTTTAGAATAGATTTTATTTTTATTATAAATTTAAAAATTATTAAAGCCTAAAATTACTTTGTAATCAAAAATTTAGTGTTTAATATAGAAAAAAATTGTTTTTATAGATTTTAACTAATTAGAATCTTGTTAAATAAAAATAGCCAATTAGTTTTGAGTATAAATCTTAAAATTTGATGCTTTGAAAAAATTGAATATTTCTTGCTTTCAGTACTGTATAACTAATATTTATCTATAATCTATTAGTATTAACTCTTACTCTAAATTAATTTATTGCTAGTTTGTTTTGATTTCATATTACATTAGATTTTATAAAATATACTCAATTTTGTTGGTTTATTTTTGCTTTTTATAGTTTTTATAGTTTGTAGTATATTTATATTTTTGGTCATTCTTGTATTGTATCTATTTGATTTTAACTGGATAATTATCAAAACAACTTCTTTGTAATTATATAAAAGGAAGAATCTACTCTTTTCTTTTTATATATACTTTGTACTAGTAGATACTGCATATAGATACTATATATAGATACTTCATATAGATACTACATGTAGATTTTAGATATAGTGTGCTAATCGCTAGATATTGGATACAAAAATTTTAACTGTATTTATTATTTTGAATGATTGATTTAATTTGTGAACAAGTATTTCTTGATTTTTTACATCTTTTTGTTTTTTTCACACTTTTTTTGCTAGTTAGATTAAATGATAATCAGTGATTGTCAAAGGTCAAAATGTAAAAATCATAGCGAAAGAATTTGGTTTCAGAGTCATGTGCAAGGTTTGTAATTATTTGATATGAGGCGTGACCAATAATGAGATTTATTGTACGGGTCTTATATAACAACCCGTGCTCATTTGTAATGGTTATTTGCACAGGTCTATATGAAAATCACATGATTCTCATATAGACCCATGCGATTAGTTTTTTAAACTATATACATATAAAAATCAGAAATTTTTAAAATAGTCATATTTTACATATAAAAATCAGAAATTTTAAAATTGTCATATTTCACATATAAAAATCAGAAATTTTTAAAATTGTTATATTTTAAGTAAAGTATTTTATTTATTATAATATTTTGACTAGAAACCTTTCTCAAATATTACATTTATTTAATTCTCAAATTTAAGGTTTAATGTAAGCATTAAAGGTTTTTCTGTTGGAGGAATTTGAAATATAATATTTTGCGTAATGGGGTTAAGAAATTGTTTTGTTGTTTGATTTGGATAAACTTGCTGCTGGGCAGAAGAAATATAATTTGGATAAACTTGTTGTTGGGCGGAATAATCATAATTTGGATAATCTTGCTGCTGAACGAAGGAAGTATGATTCGGATGAACTTGTTGAGTTGATGAAGGGATGTTAGTTTGACGATTCATTTGTTGATTCTTTGGTTTTAAATAAGGGGGTTTAAATGGTGCATAGATCGATGGCTTAAATAGTTTTAGTCTTTTTTGAGATTGACTGTATTCTTTAATTTCATAAATAGTTGTAAGTAAATAATAAAATATAAGCGAATTTTTTTTAAATTATTACCTTTATGTCCATTCGTATTACTAGTATTTACCGATGTAATATTCTTATTATTATTCTTATCATCATTTTCACTGCCATTCTCATTGCCAATCCTGATTACATTATCATCATCATTCTCATCTTTTTTTGATTCATAATTAGTATATACTTCACCCGGATAAGAATAAAATTCTTCAAGATCATCATCAATTATCGCATTTGGAATTAACATTGCGGTAGAATTCAATCGTTGGTCTTCAGTAGGCTTGCTGTATGATCTGATGCCTTCACGAGATTTATGTCCTGAAAAATTCATCAACTCGTCTTCAGGTACATCTGCTACTTTAAGAATCATAATTGCACTACGGCGTGCACTGTGGTTGGTAATTTTATGATCATTAAGCTTGATACCAGTTTTTAATGCAATTTGGTGTAACATTTTTTTAAGCTTATTTTCACCCATTTGTGATTATCAGTACCAAATTCCCTTATTAATACTGGCTTTTTTACGTACACATTCAAAAACAATGCATCAGTAGTTTGACATTCTTTAGGTCATTTAGATAAATATAATAATATATCACTAACTGGTTTAAACTTGTTTTGAATATCATCAGGTGGAATTGGAATGGTTCTGGTAGCTGTATGTCCATAACATTGACGGTAAAAAATACCACCCTGATTGTTCTTCTCTTTTCTAAGTCTTAATTGCAACCCACCATTCTGACGTCGTTCAATATCTCGGTATTGTAAGTTGTACGTATCCCCTCCTCTAAGTCCACATAATAAAGACAACCAGAAAAATACACGCTGAATTAAACTTTCGTTATTATTGGTAGATAAAAAATTATGGTTTAGGCAAGAAGCGATCTTATCAGAATTTAGTGCACTACTTTGGTCTGTATCTCCATATCCATCATCTTGTAAAGATCTCATTTTTCTATTTAAACATCTCAATGCTTTTGGAAAGTTATATCTATCTCATATCCGAATTCCACCTTGAATGGCTGTATTTTCTCTTAAATAATGGGCTAGAGCAGCATAACAATTGTGCATCGACTCAACTTTGAAAGGAGTTCCATCTTTTTTCTTGAGCCAAGCAATGAACAAGCTTAGGTATGTATCAAGTTCCTCCTTATTATCAATTTTATTCAAGTTCTTTTCAATGTTTTGCTCCTTTTTATAACGATCTACATGTCGAAGCCATTTTGCTGTATTTTTATCGGTGTTAGTAACCCGGGACAGGTTTGTAAAACGTTGAACTTCTTCTTGCAAATTGGCGCTCATTTTTTTTTATTTAATATTATAAATGAAGTTTTAAATAAAGAAACAATAAAGGGTACGTATAAAAAAAAAAGTAAGTGTAAGAAAAGAGAATATGTATAAAAGTGTGTAAGAAAAGAGAATACAATTAAAAGCGTAAAACTTACCAATTTAAGTTAATTGTTAAAAAGTGATTAAGAAAGTGATCAATGGTTTAATCAATATTAATAAAAAGTGGTTAATTATTTAATCGCATGGGTTGTTACGTCAGACCCATATGATAATGTAGTTATTGTCAATAAAAACAAAGCCCTGTGTTGTATAGTTTTTGTGTATATAGAAGTGTAATCTGATTGGTTGTTTTTGAATATATTTATATAAATAAATATTCTATTTATTATGGCTTAAATTTGATGTGAACACTAAGCCTATTGTATTCTTGCATTAAAAGAAATCTGACTAGATTTATTTATTACCACTATTCAATTTTGTTTAGTTGTTTTTGCCTTTTAGTATATTGATATTTTTTGTTGTTTTTGTAGAGTGCTGCCAAGGGAAAAGGGCACCTCTATTTTTTAATCAATTATTGAATCAATAATTGATTAAAAAATAAAGGTGCCCTTTCTCCTTGACAGCACTCATTTGTATCTATATGTGGAATCATCAAAACAACTTCCTCGTAATTATATAATTCTTAATATAATATTAAGGTATAACCATTAATTATGTAGTACTAATAATTTAATTAAGTCAAAAATGAATTCAGTAATTTGTTGAAATTAGAGACACTTCATCACATTATGTGAAATTACACAATTACGTCATTTGCTTATTAACACTAGCAAATCGGCCAAAGCTATACTATCACCTAACTTTAAAACCAACCTTAATTTAGACTAAGTGTTTAATCATATGATGTAATGAATATGAATATATCACTAGGTCCACTGATCTTGAAACTTCATGTTTCCTATTAATTTTGTTATTTTTATACCTTATTATTTTGGCTAAGCCCTATTGAAAGCCTTATGTCTATATACTACAGAAGTATATGCTAACATGCATAAATATGTATTTGCTTATATAAATTTAGTCTCTTTGCTGCTTGAACATATTAAACAATATGTCAGCTACTATTACTGAATCATAAATCAAGCAAGAAACTTATATAATAATTTCAATGATTATCTTCATTATTTAATATAAATACTATTTCTATCAAACTGATTATACTTTAATTTATTAATAAAACAAATATTCAATAAATCCTTAGAATTCAATCTTCTTATTAACTGTCATAAGCAGAAGTTAGTCTGATTGCTAATAAATTCTATTTAATTTTACATAATTTATACAACTTAGAAGACTTAATTTTTTTAAAAAAACAAAAACCAACCATAATAAAGTAAAGAAAATTGGATAGAAGGTTTCATTAGAGCTATATGACTCAATAGTCAAAAATAAGATCTAATTTTGTTTGTTTGAAAAAATTAGCTTAGTAATAAGTTGATTTATCAGGATTTGAGAAGTTATTACTATACAAACTTTTACAAACAAATGAGGATTAGATCTTAATTTGGAGATGAAGCTCTACAGTTCTAATGAAACCTTCTATATAACTTTTTTATTTCATTATGATTAGTTTTCATTTTTTTAAAAAAATTCATTAAACTGTATAAATAATGTAAAATTAAATTGGATTTATTAGCCAATCAAACAAACTTCTGCCTGACTTTAACTGCAGTAAACAAAGTCTTTAATATTTGACTCAAATATTTCTATATTCTAATTTAAGTCTATCACTCTAATGCATCTGTTCCTAGTAAATAAATTCCTTAAACACGTAAGTTTTATTTCTACAATGTAAAATTTGTCCTTATAATAACTTGCACCAGTTCTAACTTTATATCTAAAACACACTTCATACCCTATATTTTAAGTCATTGAATTCCATATCCAAGTATCTTAAAAAAATAAATATTGAATAAAACAATATACTATATATTTAATATGTATGTTTATATACAATAAATCTTATTTAAAATTTTTTAAATATATCTAAATCTACTGATATAATATCATTTAACTATTATATATTGTTTCTTTTAAGAAAGAATACTATAACAGCCCCAACCAGGCGGCGAAGCCGCCCACATCTGCATCCTCTAGTTTAATGATAAAAAATTGTTATTATTCATTTGTTATGGGTATACCCTTAAAAATGGAAATCGATTCCACAATCGATTTTCATAATTAGGGTCAGTCACACAGGGACACAGAAATTTGAAACAGCCGATAATAAATTTAATGAATTGCTTATTCAATCCATTTATTTTATGTCATATCATCAAGGACATCTGCTACATACTGTAATAAATCAAAGTTACGGTTTACGTTATTTCATAATATTAGATTACTGTAGCTACGACTTACATCAATATTACTAAAAAGTTGCAACTTCATTACAATGTGTCATAACTAATTACCTCAATCCGCTCACACAACTAGGCGGAACAAGTTTCTTTATAGTTCTCATTTTCATGATTATAAGGTAAACTATTCCACGATATCTTAAATTCGAATCCTTAAGAACTGTCCCAAATAAATTGACTCATGAGTACGATCAGTGCTAAACTGTGCATGTATGTTCACTGCTCCCCAAACGGTCGTAACAATAGGTATGTTATTAATTATTTAATAGCTTGATTGAATCGTAGTAACACTAAATTTTAATACAACTTTACTTTTTTGATATGATAAACAAAATGGTCTTAAGAACATTTAAACTTAGTAACTGGATATTGAATTATCGTTGATTCAATCAAGTTATTAATTCGTGTAATCTTTAAATAAATTATTATTTTGTACTAATTTTTTATTGATATTTTTATGTTAATATGACTGTCAAAAAGAGGGTAAAGTTTTATATTAAATTTAAAATTTGTTATATATTTAGAATGTAAATTAAAATCTCACAAAAAAATAACCTTAACAAAAAATACTAAAATAGACATGTTATATAATTTAGTAAGCAAATGACTAATTCAAAATTTTTTATTAAACCAGTTTAATAATTATAATTATATAAAAAAAAATAAATACAGATTATTAAGACTATATCTTGATACTTACAACCTAATGTTAAAATTAGAAAATACTAAAGAAAAACTCAACACTATAGTTATATATACAGTATATGTAATTGACTATAACATGCCAAATTTTACTAATGTTGTGACTTAAAATTCCGCCCATCAAGAGTTCACTACAATGAGTGAAATGTATTTTGATTATTAGAATGCTTTATCATTAGAAAGTCTTTTTATCATTTCTATTTGTTTATTTTAATAAAGCCAGTCACACCAACTATCAAAAAATCAAGAACTTCACTAGTGCAGGTTGAGTCTTTAATTCTCTTATAAAAATAATATAAAGTTATAGTAATATTCGAATGAATAAAAAATAAATTTAATTATTAAACGAATAAAAAGTCAATTTAATTATTAAACTATAAAAATAGCCTTTTCATCAGGAAAACCAATCTTGTTTAAAGATAATTTAACACTCTCCATCATAGCTGGAGGACCACAAACCATAACTCTTAATTGACGTGAATTATCATTTGCCAAAAGTTTCATATATTCGTGCCTTTCATTAAGAATTACCATTGCATTTGTTGTAGTATAAATAGAAGATTTGAAGTCAGGTGACCTGGTTGGAGACCTAGATAAAGGACTTTCAGCTTGATCAATAGATGTTGGAGACATTGTAACTATATGATCATCAGATTGATTAAAATTATCATTATAAAGTTCTTCAGGATTTGTAATAAGTGTACTAAGTGGTTGAGGTGATTGTAATTGCATAAAATTTGGTCTTTCTGGAATTTCAGGAGGTTGTTGAACATTATAATTTGTACTAATCCAATTGTATAATAAATTATCATCGATAGTTCCTACATAGCCTCTCCACGTTGGTGGTGCTCTTGATATAATAAATTCTACATTAAACCTTCCATCACTATTTTCTTGAAGATATAAAAGATATTTGAGGCTAATTATATCAGCAATCGAATGATTGGCTGTGAGTAAATAAATACGAAATTTCGAATCTGGGTGATCCAAATGATATTGAATCTAGTTTATTATAGAATAATATTTTAGTTAATTTAAATTATTTTAAAAAAGAATAGTAAACAATTAAAAATAGTATGTAATTAAAGGCTCACCAATTGAAGTGCAGGTGTTATTCCTGTTTAAAATTAATAATATTTAGAATAATAATTTTTAATTAATAATTTGCAATAATAATTCGTAATAATAACAATAATTTTGATAACAATGTACCTGTACCACCGCAAACGAGGAAAAGGTAATCCCAACATTTATCTTCCCTAGCATGATTTAATAAAATTCTAGGTGCAGGTTGATCATTATCCTCACTAGAAACACTGCCATATCCACTAAATGCTGCATTTGATTTTGCATATGAAAGCTTACGACCAGATGTGCTCAAAAGACTTGCACGTAGTCTACGTCGTAAACCTGTATCAGAAGTAGTGGATGATATAGATTGTTCAATTCGTTCTGATATATCAAATGGTCCTCTGACTGCAATCTCAAAGTTTTTGAGTTGTTTACCCTACATAAAACATTTATATAAATATTTATTATAATTTTGATAAAATGATTTATGAAAATAACAATAAAGGTAATCTTACCAAATGTTGAGACATTACACCATCTTTATATATTTTAACAATGATCGAAAAGGTATTATCAGAAGGACCTTTAAGTAACGTATAAGGCCTGACAACAGTAGCTTTATTTGTATAGCTCATGATTTCAATGTAATCACCAGGTAAAATTTCAGGTAATTTTTCATATGGATGGATGACTTGAAAAGTCATTTTCTTTACTGGATTTTCAGCATCATATCTAGTAACATCTTCAATATTTGTAAGAATATATCTTCTAAATATTTCAGGTGAAATTTTTGGTGTGCTAATTGTTGAATATGGCAATATTCCATCAACAACTGGCCTTGAAACATTTTCATCATCATAATCAGAAATACGTGCTGTCACATATTTTAAGGAAGAATTAGTTAAAAATTCATTTATATTTATAAAAAAAAAAAAAATCAGATTTATTCTAAAAAATTTCTTCTTACCAACAACCATAGTTGCCAATTTAGCAGTTGCAAATTTAGAATGTCTATGCATTGCGACACGAGTATTTTTAAACGTAACACTATTAAGTAAATCAATTGATCTTGCAACAGACTTTGGAGTACGAGAGTTTGGTTTCTTATCTTTAAATTGAATGTTTGAATAGTTTAGGGGGCCATCATTAAAATCGTTGGATAATAATAACTCGTGTTCTTTATCAAAATTTTTGGCGATAACTGTTTGAACATTTGGATCAAAAAAGAAGTCATTGGTAATATCTGTTCCAATCTTTAAAAAGTTTTATACAATGTAAATATTAATAATAAATAAAAATCCAAGTCAAAAGAAAGAAAGAAAGATAGGTACGTACCACTCTGCGTAAAATTTTTTGACCACCAGGATGAATTTTAATCCAGCTATGAATATCAAATACTAATCCTTCAGCGACAACGAGGCATGCACCAGATAAAACTCTTTCATTAAATTCCTAGAAAAAAATTAAAGATATTAAAAAATATTAAAATTGACGCTTTCAATTACATTGCACAGATGCTGAGATTTACTAGCGGTTAGAATTGAACCTATTTTAACGAGAAATTTTAAAATTTTTGAGCTATCTTTTTTTTAAGAGTTGGGTTATAGTTATTAACAAAAGAGTACATAAGGATTTCAATAGATTTATATTTAAACGGAGGTATCAAATCCTAATATTAGCCGATCTCAGCATTAGCATTATACGCGACAATAAATATACTATTATACATACACTCCATGTATAAGCAGGAAGAAATTCATAAACTTTTTCAGGAATTCTTCTATGAATTCGCAGATTTGTATCATTCATGTCTCGATTCGGCCACAAGAATTGTAAATTCTTAATCTTGTAATAAAATTCACTTGCCAAAAAGAACAAGGACAACAAAACTATAAAAAAAAAAAAGAAAAAAAAAATGTATATGTATATATATTAATAATATCAAAAACACACACATATATCATTTGAACATTGAATAGAAATAATTACCAAACCAAGTCAAATATAAATAAGTCACAACATTTGTGTTAACATTATAATTTACACCATATTGAATCATTCCAAGGTATACATTAATCCTATTTTTAAATATTATAATTAAGCATTAAACAGAATAAGTTTAATTAAATTTTTATACTGTAAAAAGGTTTTTATAATTAATGTCATTACCATGCACATGCCATCAATATTGCGCCAAAATAAAAATGAGCATGTTTTAATCCACGTACTATTCCAGTAGCTAATAAAAATAATAATATAGTTAGAAGCATTATCAAAAACTGTTAAAAAAAAATTAAATAATGAGTTATTATTATTTCTTACAAGCAGATTCAACATGAGCCAAGCCAAATATTGCCAATAATCCTAACGCGACTTGAACAATTAAACCAATATAGATTGTGGTACCAAGACTGAATACAAAATTTAAAGTGATTTTTGTGGTTTTAATAAAGTTACATAATATTATATTAAAACATAATAATAATACGTATCATGCTTACATTCCATGTGGAACTCTAAATTGTACGGTAAGAGAAGACATCGCTACAGCACCAAATACACCAACACAGAAAGCACCAATAATTTGGAGATTTCGATGCTAATAATATTAATAATGAGTGAACACGTATGAATACATTTATTTGTTTTATGATTGAATGTGATCAGAATATTGACGCACTTAAGATATACTAATAAGCTGTTACCTACCTGGAACATATATGAATTCTTATGTCTCATATACCTAACGATCCATATTGACGCTATTTATTGAGCAAAGAAATGTAAGAAAATTGACATAAACTAAGCCTTTTAAAACTAGTTATTATTTTCGAAAATACCTGGGAATAAGACACTGTAAAGAAAAAATGTAATAAAATTGTAATTGAAGTTCTTAAATGTGACGATAATGAAAAAAAAAAATGTTTGCATACCACCACATTAAAAACATGCCAATTCCATGAACTAACTGCATTTCTCTGGCTTGGTTAGTAATAGAACCATAAGTTGTTGCAGCAAAAAAGTTAACGCTCATAGATCCTCGATTTCCGCCATGGTAAGTTAGTATACTGACATCTGGATTGAAAGCATAAATTGCTGCAATGTAATTAAAAAAAATAAATTTAGAAAATAATTATTTAAAAAGTAATTATTTTTTAAAAAAAGTAATTCAACTATCAAAACAAGTTACTATTAGTAAACAATGATAAATAACTTACTTGTTATTGCGGAATTAGTAATTGGTCGTCGATTAGGAGCATTAAGGGGACGTTTTACTTCTACTTGAGTGTACCCGTTAGTTGAATTTTTGCTTAAGACGGTAAGAAAAGTACTAGTTGTATCACGAGGAGGTTTCTGATAAGCAGTGGGTCTATAAAGACCAACGTCTATCATAGAGCTGTTTGAAGTTACGATTATCATATCTGCATCCTACAAGTGGGTATTAAATATATTAATGATATTGGTGATATTGATGATATTGATGATATTGAACGAAAATATATACATACCAACATGCCACCATCTAATGAATTGAATCCAATACCAAACCAGGCATTTGTACTTTGCATTGTCATCAATAAATAAAGGTCAGAACCATCAATTCTCCATTGGACTTGATATGTGTTGGAAAATTTTAGAATGTTAAATGGGGAATAAGAACTTGGACCGGTGGCATTAGGAGCGACAATCGGTTGAACCACCCATAGATTTGATGGTATTGAAGATGTACTTGGAATGTTTCTAGCAATCACCATGGCCAAAGTCGTATTGTGAATGGTGTCTATTTCCGCAGCAGTAAACCCTGCAGCTGGTGATTCATACCTGTCATAGTTATGTAAATAAATAAATAATAAATATATAAATAAAGTACCTAGAAATAATTATTCAGGAGAGAAGCGGAGGACTCTATTTCTCTGTAAACTTTGACCTGCAAAGTTTTCCTTCCGTCCGCTCACGTGATTATGAGGCAATCACATTTTAACGATCGGCAAACATACAAATCAAAATCAAATCACGTATCCGATTCCTAGTTTAAAAACTATTATTAAAAAAGATACTAACCAAAATCTATCAGAATCGCGTATATTGGTCCACTAAATAAAAGAACATTATGCGTAACTATTTTATTCTTTTAATCAAAACATAATAAACTAATAAATCAAATACCTGATCAATATAACTATGATAAAATAAAGGACCAAGATTTGAACCAGGAACATGATCTTCAGCAAGACCCCCAGAAAACGCTTCAACTTGATCAACAGTACCATACGCGTCACGTAAACGTTTTTGTACTTCTGGATCAGATGAAATATCAGACCAATCACGAGCTCGATTTAAACCAAAATATTGTTTCGCGTCATTATATCTTGGGATTCCATGATCACGCCCTCTCAAACAATCAACACTAATTAATATTAAATTTATACAAACGTTAATCAATTAACAGTCTCATATATAAAATTTAAGTTTACAAAATCTGGATTGAAAAAAAAAGAACGAGGAATCAAAGATTAATCACCTCGCTACATCTATTAGTTCAGATTTAAACAAATAATATCGCATCTGGTCGGAAATATATATGTCAACTTCTTCTTGCCTACAAAGGTGTAAAAACAAAGGTTATCTTATAATATAAATTATATGAAATGACTACAGAAATGACTAATGGAAGGTATGACTTACATTTGAAGAGCCATTGATACTGTAAAAGTAGGAATACCAAATAGCTCACTATCAAAATAAACGATGTTTAAATAAGAAATAATATAATATAGATAAAACTATTAGGACATAAATAATTACAGTAAATGAGGTTGTTGAAGTGAATTTAATTGTAAAGTAGTAAGAAAATGTCCTTTGTCATCAACGATAGCATAATAATCGCTTTTAATTAAAAAAAAGGATTGATTAGAATGGTATATCTTTTGTGCTGTAATCAATAACATGTGATAACTACCTAACTTCACTATGGCCATAACGCATTGAAGTCTAATATCAAAGCAACAAGAAATTATTATACAATTATGCAAAATATTATACAGGACATTGGTGAGTAATAAAAGAGAGAGCTTACGGTCGCAAAGAAAGTATCAATAACCGGTTTAAGACTTGGATTATAACCTTTGTAAACTGGTAAAGGAGTTCCTAAAAGAATTCCAACTAAATATATGGAAAATGAATATAAAGTCAATGATTAAAATAAAATAGAATAAAGTAGAATAAAGTAATATAAAGTAATGTATTAGAATAAGTAATATAAAATAATGTATTAGAATAAGTAATATAAAATAATGTATTAGAATAAAGTAATATAAAGTAATGTATTAGAATAAAGTAATATAAAGTAATGTATTAGAATAAAGTAATATAAAGTAATGTATTATAATAAAGTAATATAAAGTAATGTATTATAATAAAGTAATATAAAGTAATGTATTAGAATAAAGTAATATAAAGTAATGTAAAGTAGAATAAGGTATTATAAAGTAGAATAAAGTATTATAAAGTAGAATAAGGTATTATAAAGTAGAATAAGGTAGAATAAAGAAAATAAGTATATACAGTATAAATGAAATTCAAATAAAAATAATACTACATGCCATATTCGTAATAAGTTATCTTTTGTAAGAGAGCAATAACCCATTTTCTCGCTTCTTGATAGTAAGTTTCATCATTCCAAGAGTCACCATGAACCGCATACAATTCATCACATCGTCTGTTATGTTCACGTAAAAAAATGACATAAAATATATCTACAATAATATGAATATTAGATGAACTTGAAAAAAGAATTAAAATTTTTTTTCATGCATGCTTTTACTTGCCTGTGAAAACGTTCCTGCCCTTAGTCGAAGTGTATCTATCGTTATTTAAACAATTTATTTATTAACATCTTATTTCTAATTATTAATTATTCCTGTATTCACAATTCATAAATTCATACCCAAAAATATATTCTCCATTTGGATCCTGCATAGTGAAATAATAAATTTAACGTTTAACGCGTTGAATTCTACGTTAAATCTCACTTTAATGAAAAAAGAACAATAATGATACCTTTGGTGGATACCCAAATTTACCATCTTCTGTTTGATCAGAAGTTAAGAGTCTCATTTTTCCTGTGTTACCAGTGTCACGAACTAAGGCAGATTGTTCCTTAGTCACACCGTAGATATGAGACGCGTCGACAAAAGGTGTACCAATATTAATTCCAACATTTCCAGGTCCTTGAGAGCGATTGAATGGTAAATATGGCTAATTAATACAATAAAAAAAAAATACAAGTATTTAGATCACATGTCATCTTGATTGCTCAACCTTTAGTTAGAATTAGAAAACTAGTAACGACCAATAACTTACTTGGTTCATTGTAACATTTGGGCCAACTATATAATTAGATTGATAAGTTCTATCATCTGTAGGAATATAGATCCCCTGCGGAAAGGATTGACCTGTATCTGGACCAACACTAACCTAATTAGCAATTAAACGGTTGTTAGTTTTTAATTAATACATTAAATGATGATGATTCATTAAATGGCGAAATAGAAATAATAAATAGAAAAATGATATACAGTACATACATCCATCTTGATGAACAGTCCCCTTCAAATACCAATTATGGTTAATGCGAATTGAATCATATACAGTAATTCAATACTAATTAGTGTACTCACCAATAAGTCAGCTTATAATATTTATTTAAATATATTAGATTAGATATTATTATTATTATCATTGATATTGATTATCTTTCTATGATAGCATAAGGAAATTTACGTGTTATTAATCGCAAATTTTAACATCTTAGTAACTATTTTATCTTAATAGTTATTTTCACAAGAGTTTATATTTCTTATTAGTTATTTCATGACACTAAAGAATATTAAGGAGTAATAACACGAATTCCCGTTATGTCGTAGTACACATTAAATTGATTGATCTTACCACATGAGAGGTACTTCTTTTTGATTTGAATTTTTGCAAGTGCGTCAAATTAAAAGCATCACTCGTTTGTAATCGATATGAATGAAGAATGTTACTGACGCATCTAGGTAAAGGAAGGATACCAGGTGGTAACCTATCAGTACAACTTGCAGCCGTTGCAAGAGTAGTATAATTTCCTGGAGTTGATATCATAGTTCCGGCATTATCTTGAAAGAAGTCCAGAGGTACTTGTTGTCGTACAAATGGCATATTTATCACACCCAAATTATCTTTATCATTATTAGTTCCATTTAATGTTCGATATTCACTTAAGACTACATTCTCCAAGACAAAAATGTAAATTAGAAAGATTAATGCACTAAGGTTTATTTTGTATGCGGCCATATTCACGTATCTGAATTAAAGAATGATGCGAATTGAAAATAAGCGCGAGCATATTCATATTTATAAGTATACTCTAAACTATATATGTACGTATGTAAGTACGTATGCAAAGTATGTAAATATCAAATATCTATACAGTATACAGTATACCGAACATATATCATCCTGCATACAGTATTGAGCTACTAATTATGGGAATATTAGCCCCATTTAGACATGTGCAGAGTGCCACAAAGGCTTATAAATAATTTTATACGGACAAATTCTATTAATAAATATAAATATTGTTTCAACAATGGTGGCGAAATCAAATCTTCTGTCTGTGTTACTTATAATTCAAGTTGTTGGTACATGATACAATTGGATATTCTGATGTTTGTATGTGATCCCATTTTTATTTTCTCTGTACTATTTTGCTATTAATATTGTGTATTACAAGATTAATTCGATCGAATACGTGCATATCAAATATATATTAATATGTAAGTAAGTACGTACGTACGTATGTACGAAACAATACAATATGCTAGAAAATTCACGTACGTACGTACACTTACTGTTAATGTCTAGAGTAAAGTCAAAAATATTCGCTTCTCTACGCTGATCCGCGATAATCTCTTCAGTTTAATTGGCTAATAAACCAAACTCTATACGTAATAGGGTCTTAACTATGCTCCGGGCGATTAATATATATCGCAAATGAGAACATCACATCAACCCTTTTCTCAATTGGTTGTTTCTTTAAGCAGAATCAAAGAAGAGTACAACTGTATCATTTTTGATATTTCAGGAATTTCAAGAATTTATTATATTATTATTTTTTATGTTTTTTTATTGTCATTTTTGATGTTCGGAATTAAAGATAAGTAAGTATAATTATTATGTTGTCATTTTTTTTGTATGTAGCCAAATACAGTACAAAGTATTATACGGCAGAATGCGATCAACTCGGATTAATTTTTTATATATTAAACTAGTTTGAATAAATTAACTGGTTTGAACAGATTTAGCCTGTTTGAACAGACTTAACCTGTTTAAACAAATTTAAACATATGAAAATAAATCTTGACTACTTGATTTTAACTCCATGTCGGTGTTTTGAGTGTGAGAATTTACCTTTATTGTTATATAGCAGTAGTTACTTTGGTAATGAATTAATAAAATTAAGCAATTAATCGAACACGCGCTAACGCTAAGTGATATATGTATTGAAAAAAAGTGCATGCACTGTGCATGCTGAATGAGCAGTTCCCATCATATAGATAGTTATTATAAATCATAAATAGTCAGTATTGACATGCATGACAATCTAAACACTACTTACATACATTACATACATTACATATTTGATGATTATAACTATATATATATATAATTTTTTTATAGGCATTATTTTATTATTTTTAAATTAAAATTTTGATTAACAATTAAAATGTATACATATTATATAATTCTTTTTAAAAAGGTGTAACCTTGATTTTCGTAAGAATTTCTAAAATTCTAAATTGCCTATCATTCATACGTATTCTTAAACATCAACAAATCTGCAAGAATCTGCGATTTCACATAAACATATCATGATCTGCAAAGGTCACACCAGTACCCGAGCAATTCAGAAGATACTAAAAAGGAAATTTTAAAAGAAATTCAATAAAAAGATTCCATTTTTATATAGTAAATTTTCAGAATTTTGGTAAAAATAGGCATTTTCGGAGTCAATTTGGCATAAAAATAAACAAACTTAGTTCTGACCTATCAATGTATAACTCAGTACCTTTTGAAAATTGCCATAACGATAATGATGATAATTACTAAAGTTTTATAGTGTTCAGAAATCTGCGGTGTAGAATCTATCTAGAGTTCTGTCGAGCAGAAAAGCAAATAACCGACTTAAATTGAATTCATAAAATTTTATTCACTCAATATATTGTGGTAAATAAAATAACATTAAACGGTAAATGTTTCATTGTTTTAAATAGCTAATTTTAAATAACAATTAATAAATGCTCTATATACATAAATATTTATTATTGATAAATTAAAATTAAATAATAAATATTCATAGATTTCAATAATTTAATTTAAATACTTAGGTTAATTTCCGGAGCAGAGCGGAGGAACTTAAGGACAGGCAATAGGTGAGAAAAAAATTCCGGGTGAGTTCCGGGTGTAGGATAAGAGCATAAGTGTCATGCAAAAAGAGTAACAAAGTAATAATTATGCTTTCAAGTTGTGTAACACTATAATAATGTAGTTTGTAGTTAAGTAATGATCGAAGCACTTGCGATAGTTACTTTGTCGATCATTACGACATTTGATAGAGTTAACTTATACTTTGCATCTTGCAGGATAGTTAATTTGTAGTCTAATTGTATGTATAAATAGAGACATATAGAACGTTAGAGTTTTGGTTAGTTGAATAGAGGTAGATTTTTGGAAGACTTTAGTTTAGTAAGTTTGGAACTTGCTAGGTTGATTAAATATTAGTACAGTTAGTGTCTGGGACACAAATATAGATATTGGTTCAGTACTTTGGATACTTGTAAAGAGATAATAAATACTTATTTTCGTCCCCTTAATGTTGACGTCCCTGAGTTAAATCAATAACAATATAACCAAGTCTCTCCCGCTGGACGTCACAATAAGCAAAAAAACTCCAAATCATTCAATTAATCAGTATTGAAATTGTCAATTATATAGTAGTATATGACATATCGCACTTTATATTAACCGTTACTTAGAAGTATATGACATATCGCACTTTATATTAACCGTTACTTAGAAGTATATGACATATCGCACTTTAAATTTATTTTATATATGATGCAACATAATAAATTCTGATCGCTCATAATAAAATAAATTTGCGATAGTGGTTTAATTATACCATATATAGGGTTCTGCATGCGCTGGACTATCCATGGAGCATCCGTGGACTGGTCCAATATGGGCCGGGCTTAGTTCATAAACGTCCGTAAATCTACCCTAAACCTACCAAAATTTTTGACCATGAATAATTGAGTCCAGATCCAAAATCCTGGATAGTTCATAGTTAATCTGATTGGCCAAAATTATAGATATCATCATCGTTTTCCTGATCATATAATGCCAAAATTACGAATCAAAACTTAATTTAAAACTAAGCTGTTTACAGTTTGTGCTATTTGGCTCCATGGATTGTACCATGTGGTCATGGCTAGGCTTGGATCTACCAATTAAATATGGATTTTGAAATACCCGGCCAGCCCGGCCCATGTGAGACCCAAACTATATATGAGTTTAGTGCAATAATAAATCAAAATTTTGAGCACTTTACTTTTAAGGGACTTCAACATATTAAAAAAGGCTCAAGGATACAAGAACGAATATTTGAAGAAAAGTGACTTATAGATATAAGTACAATTTTTAATTAATTTCGTATTTAACACTAACATTTAATTAATTATTTATTCTCAGAATCCGGGTAGATTAATCTTAGAAGTTTTCTGTGTATTTTTTTAAATTAAAACTGTTTATGTATTTTTTTTACAGCGTCTTATAAGCTGTTTTGAAATGTAGATGCGCTTAAATTTTTGTGATCTAATAAGGGGAACTAATTTTTTTTATGTAAATTATATAATTCAACATCTTAACCTAATCATATGCTAAAGTGACCAAAGTGCATCTAAGAACCGATTTTACAGAGTTAAAGCACTTTAGCTTTAATTGGACAGATATATAAATATAAGTATATAATTGTTATCCGATTACACTATAAGAGTTTTTATTGATATCTTGCAAATAATTAGATATGTTTGCAAATACAAAATGGCGCTCCGGAACCCAACGGATCCCGTTTTCCTAGTTTAAATTATGTCGTTATTATTTAAATACGTACATTACAATTAATTTTCTGGGGTTTTGCCTTGAAAATCAATTTCGACATTTCTGATAGGGTTAATTCGGACACAAATAAACCCGGGTACCAGTTCATTTTTATATGTTGATTCAATAGTTATTCGATAAACTATTGAATCAATAAAGGAAAAGATGATCAACATATAAACGTGAACCGGCACTCGGGTTTGTTTTTGTCCGAAATGTCGGGAGATTATTTTCATGAAAGATACAATTTTTAATTATTTCTTTTTAATATTAGGTAATTTGATATTAGTTTTCTTATAAGGCAGTTTACACTATTAAAAAAAGTAACCCTATTTTTAATATATTTAAAAATGTTATGCTGAGTTTTTATTACCTTCTGTTATATACAAGATATACAAGTTACTCTCGTTATAGTAAACTCTCATTATAGTAAACTTTGTTATTGTGAAAATTAGTTTATAGTGATGAATTTATTTAGAACAAAATCATTATCAATAAACTTTCATTCGATATAATGAAGTTAATTAGTAAACTCTCGATATAAGATATATGAAGATTTTTTCTAAAACGGATATAACAAAATTATTTGGGGTTTGGGTCAAAATCCCAACAAGCGAAATCCCGGCAACAAAAATCCCGACATCCCGACAATTAAAAATTTTGATAAAAAAATATCATAAACCATAGTTAACCCAACCTTCTAAAGTGACCTAACCCTAAAGTTAATTAAATTATAAGAGTCTACTTCACTTTAAGCATATCCCATATTTGGGATTTCTACCAGATCGTCAAGATTCTTAATTGTCGGGATTTTTGACTGTCGGGATTTTTTTTTCGGGATTATGACCTGTCGGGATTGTGCTTGTCAGGATTTGACCGGCACCGATTATTTGTCTGATTCAGCCCTTCTGACCAATGACACATCGTTATATGATATATCGGCTAAAAAATAATTGTATGTATAATACATACAATAAAGCACAAATTTTGAAAACCCGATGCGTCATTGATCGTCATTGATCAGAAGGGCTGAATCAGAAATAATTAATAATATACTATAATTTACAGAGGGACATTTCTCTTGGCGGCACTCATATGATATTAAGATCTGACCAATAAAATTAATAGGGAGCGAA